CCTCGCCAAGTCAACTGCCTCCATACTGCATGGATCAAACTCAAATTTCGAACCAAACCGTTTCACTAATCCCTCAATTCACCAAAACGTTTTCAAGCAACATCACTTCACCAGGAAGTCAATTTTCGTTGTGCTGCTGTGGACGTGCAGTATATAATGTGTATCGATCAGGGGCACTGGTCAACCGAAAGGCTCTTGATTCAGCGTTTTTGGTAGTGTTCAGACTGGGCACTTCTCAGGGCACTCTAGCACATGCACACTATTACAGTATCTCTGCTTTCTTTCCTACCCTCCAAACGCTTAGTCATAAATGTGTCTGTCCTATGAAACTACACATTGTTAATGGCCACTTTCAAAGTCATATCACAAAACACACTGGAATAATAATAATTTATTAATGCATTCATATATTCTAATATAAAAATCCCTTCTCGCACCACTGTCGATGCTTTTTAGTGTTCACGTTCTTCTTCTGCCAACGAATCGCAGGCGTTGTGGAATTCCTCCTCAACAACATTGTCGTAAACCGCCGTCTTAGATGCTCGCTTTCGACAGGTCCACATTGCTTTCTGAACACACTGACATTACAATACCCACTATACAACACTGTAAATTATCACAAACTCACCAAAAAACCATATATCAACCACATGAAAAACAGTCCAGTTGCTGTCCTCGCAAAGATTATGAGCTCCGCCAGCATCACCATCTGCTTATATTCCGCATTCGCACCAGCAATGAAAGAGGCAGGTAGGCGCATCTGAAAAATGCACATCAACCATAGAATGACATGTGGCACCGAAGGTAATCGAACATAAGGAATAGCAAGAAAAGCTTGAAACAGTGAGCGATTGAAGTGAGAATTGAAGCAGACTGAATAGATTACAATCAATCGAACAATGAAACAGGATAGTAAGAAAACTGTAGAGATCTGCAAACACGAGTGACGATGAATGGAAAGCTAATGGGCGTGCTATGAACTCTACGCAAGTCTATATCCATCGCGAGATTTACGACTAGCCCCAGGTACTACTAGGCGCGACCCCTGACTGGCGACATCCCAAACGACTCAATCAAACATCAAACACCAACAACATTGATAATAGACTCACCTGTGATTCTTTGTTATGAATTGAAACCTGAAACAAACTAAACCAACAGGAAACAAACAAAAATTTCAGTAAAATGCGGAATTACGAAAAGGCTGTTTCGCCCTCTCAACCACAGACAGCCAAAAAAAAAACGAATGGGCTCATCAGTGTGGTCTATTAAAAGAAACTTACCGCATATTCACACAATAACACTTATTCAAGCACACTCCACACATACACACACTTAAACACTCTTACTAAAACATCTAGTAGCATATTCAATTTGAAAAACACTCAATCGCATGTGAAAATGTGAACAGGAAGCAATAAAAAAACATACCAGAACAGTTGATTGAATTTTCAGCGATAATAACCTGAAAATACACAAAGCAAATAAAATTAAAAACTCATCAAATCACGCTGAAAGACACATCAATGCGAAAAACTCACGCTACACTCACACTCTGATACTCATTCATGCAAAACTTCACCCATACACACATAAACATCACACTAATGTACAAAATAACACAATCAATGAAAAATCATACACAAACAATGAAGAATTGCGCACACAGAAACGAAAAATATACGCGAAATTGTGAAGAGTGACCATAAAGGAACATACCTGTACAGCTATATTGCATATTCATAAAAGAAAACCTGAAAGCAAACAAAGCAAATAAAATTAAACACTCACCTAATAAAGAGCAGGCGAAAAAACCCATGCATTTCAACTCAACACCCACCAAATACCTCTGAAAACCTGAAAGAAAGTGGGAGCATGGCGCATCCTCACACAAACCCTCACTCAAATCGATTTGAATTCACTGGACAATTGAAGAACCAAACGAAAACCGTATCATGCACAAAAACTCACTCACAGCACACACACTCTCACATAAACACGCATAAAAGAATCCAAGTGAAAAACTTTACTTGGCAAATGAGGTGCAACTCGGGTGAAAGCCGACAAGTGAGTTGGAAAGGGCTAGAATCTTTCAAGTTCTGCCTTATCCAACCCCCCATCGGCAGAACACCAAGAGCACACACAAATACATCAAATAACAATAATAACATACAAAATAATGAAACAATACAACAAAAAAAGAGAAAAACTCACCGCACAGTTCCCAAAGCCGATTTTTGCAGGCGAATACTTTCAAAAGTTCGACCGCGGCGCCCATTTGCCGGCGAGCAACCGATTTGCCGTGGAGCAACCAACCATCTGGACGAGTGAATGAATAGCATTCACTATTAAATAGAAACAAATCAACATTTACTCGCACAATCAGTGCGATAAGTATTGATTCACTTAGAGATAGGCCCTTTTGCACTCTAATAAACGCACTAGCGCGCACCTAAACACCATTCCAGTGCATTTAAAGCCATTTTAACCCATTTGTACTCATTTTAATGCATTTTAGCGCCACAAACGGGTACAATGCATGTTGTAGGGACCTGGAAGGGAGCCATCACACTGCGCGAAGCCGCAATCTCACTCAATTCATCCTCACTTTTCTTTAAAATCCATCCAAAATGATTGAAAACGACCAAATGCCAACTTTTTTCTCCGCCAAACAATCGAACTCAAATTCCTAGCAGCTCTTCACACACCAACTCGCTCTCGTTTCCCAAAATTCCAGTCAATTCGCTCCACTACGAACCCAGCTGCAGTCAACAGACCCCCC